AACACGGCCATGGTCGGCCGCATGCAAACACGGCCGGTTACACAGCTTGGCGATAATGTGACTTCTGCTATTCTGTGCTTTCTCAACCATTCACTCTTTTCGRGATTTAAGTATCCTGGGCCCGACTGAGGATTAGAACTAATTTCATTCCAATTCTTCGAGCATCTAGGTTCGAACAGTTGCTGATCCTCTGAACGTTTTGTCTGCGAATGAGGTTGAGACAACTCCAACTGGACTTGTGACCTCTAATATATACGGAAAGCTCTGCTGAAGGCATTTATGAAATCTCTAACTAACATGGTAATAAGTTCCAACTATTTCCATTTGGCGCATCCGATTTACTTGCCCATTTTGGGAATGAATCTTTTGATCTCATAGAGGCAAATCTCCGCCGTGGACTAAACTTATGCTAGCTCCATTCAACTTGGATATTGGCTCTACAAAGGTCTCTAATATCTCTGAGAGTGGGTATCCTCGTTGCCCATCGCACAATCGGCCTAATGCCCCCATTGCTTTATCAATCCTCACGCAACTCTCATGACGTTATTCAGGAATGTTGTCGATGTGAATATGACCGATGCATATCAACGGGCCGATGCAACTGTGCAAAGCCAGCCAACTAAGCGTTTTCTCAAATACCTCCCGCCTGATTACTCCCCAACCGGCCACTATGATCCCAGCGTCATCAAGTTTTCGTATGCTCTTGCTTGTGTTAGGGCCTACAACCATATATTTGGCAGGTGAGTAGTAAGGGCCCTTGTCCTCCTGGATGGATTCAATACCGTCCATTTCGATGATGCCGGAAGGGTCGTAAAAAAGTTTCAATTTTCTCGCTCCCCACAATTCCCGGGGTGGAGATAAAAGAACAGCATAACATCATTGAAAAATAGCTTTCCAGACTAATGCGCGAGCCTAACAGAAGACGCAAAGGAGGAATTTGATTTCATGACGATAGAAGGTATGAGTGGAAAGCCACGTTCCATGGTATGGAAGAGAGTCTCGATGTAACACAAGAGGTTGGACGGCAGAAGAATAGTGAATTTTGGTAGAATGTGTATAACATTCCATTCTTCACTTACTTGCACATTGCCCTCAAGACTCCGTTGAGCAAAATTGGGTCATTCGCCTGTTGCTGCATCACGGAGACCCTGCAGAAAGACCTCGAAACCTTCCGGACTGCCCTGTTGCCAGTCCGACAAACTATTCTTGAGGTTCGTCAGATCGGCAGCCGTAGCTCCTGTAATCCGAACTAGGACCGATTTTGAGCTAGTGCTCTGGTCCAGCATCCCGGCCACAACGTCCCGCTTTGACAAAGAAGAGTCCGGATAAACACCAATCTTTGCGTAGTTTTCCATGATCGTCTCGTATGACTTCTCGACCTCAGCATCGGTGAGTTCCCCGAGAACTGACCATCTGCCTCCGCCCCATCGTCCTGCAAACCCTCCACCCAAACCTCCGACCAGACCTCCTAATAACCCGCCGATCGGACCGCCAACAGCGGTGCCGGCCATCGCTCCGAGTTGCGTCCCTCCCCACCCCCCCGCCGAACTAACCATGCTAAGGCCAGTGTTTTTTCCGAACCGTGACCAGTCCCCTGTAGATGCAAGGCTGGCCATGTTGAATAGCGAGCCGACAACAACCCCCACCACAGCGCCGTGACCGAAAATGGGATGATCGATTTGAGATGAGCACGCTGAAACCGTGCTACCGTATGCGCCGCTGATGCCTAGCTTGAGGAAGTAGTTCTGGAATTCCCCATCAAAGAGGGTTTTGATGTCAAACAAAGCTGTTGCTGCCATATTAATGCCTGCTGCGTTAACAGCATTGCGCACGAATGTCGTCCTCATGAGACTATCTGCATTGATGTCTGCTGTTGTCTTGGGGATGCCGATCTTTTGAGATGCTTTGAGAACAGCTTCGTGATACTTTGAAGATTTGTCAAGGAGCTCACGTTCCATGGCACCCAGCTCTCGGTTGTTCAGTTTGTGCATATGCAAAACTCCTTTCCACGCCTTCGTACCGTCTCGATAGGCTTCAACAGGCTCGAAGACTGCCGGGCCTCCCCCAAACTGTAATGCCATGTCCACTTCTCGGTTGGCTGCCTGTCTTAGAAAAGTGCGAGCTACTAGCTGGTGAAAGTGAACTCGCTGCTCCTGTTGCCATCCATCATTTACCGCCTGAACATGTTTTACACTCAAGGGCGGACTTGGTTTGCTGAGCATCATCGCAAGACTGAGTGTTTCCTGATTGACTTTCATGACAGATTGGATCTGTTCCACCGTGAGTCTGGACAACAGCGTCATCGCCTCCTGGAGCTGCTCCTTGCTCATTTTGTATTGTAAAGAAGAAAAAGAAAAACGATAGAAAAGCAAGTGGAATCTTTT